GAACTAAGGTTCAGGGCTCCACGGGGGGCCCCGCCCCCTCCCCGGGGCGCAAATGCGAACCGAGGGAGAAGTGCGCTCTGCGCCTGCGGGATGTGAAGCTGCCCGTTTCCAAGGCAACGAGTGTCTCCCATCCTCCGTGGGCGTTGCGCATCCCACTTCACTGATGTAGGAAGACGCAAAACCTGAAGCTGAGTTGATTGGCTCTGTACTTCCCAAGTTCGGAGGCCGGAATCCAGTCAGCCACACTCAGGAACCACCCACCCTTTTAAGAAAAATCAGAATCTAGGAAAGATCAATCCAGTTAGTACACAGGGAAGGAAGTATAGTATTCTGAACTGAGCTACACCTTCAGCCCCGGAAATACGTTTTAAAGTTCAAACAGATTTGTGTTATATGTAGAAATACATAAACTGGCTTTTTTGTTTCGATTTTGTTTTGTGTGTGTCTGGTTTTTTTTTGTTTGGTTTTTTTGAGACAGGGTCTCACTATGTAGTTGAGACTGACCTGGAACTCACTATGTAGCCCAGGCTGGTCTCGAACTCACAGCGATCCTCAGTCTCGCAAGTGCTGGAATTACAGGCGTGCGCCACCACGCCCGGCTTTGTTTCGATTTTTTATCTGCCAATTTTGCCAAAGTTTTATTATTTTCTGTAGTAACCCCCACCCCACCCTACACCGGGGATCACACTCACGACCTTGCTCTTGAGAGGCAGGCGCAGTGCCACTGAGCTAAATACCCAGTATTTTCTCTAGTTTTTGTAGGTGTTTGGTTTTTTATAGTCCTGTTATCTGCAAATAAAGCAGCTCTACTTTTACCATTTCAGTTTTTTTTTTTTTTTTTTTTCTTGGTACCAGGGATTGAACTCGGGTCCTTGTGCTTGTGAGGCAGGCCACCCAACCGCTGAGCTAAATCCCCGGCCCTCAGTCTATTCTTTTAATGTCTTTTAAGTTTGCATTTTCCAAGATTTTCAGTAACATTAAGGAAAAGTGGTGAAAGGACATTTTTGATATTCTAAATCTTTCCGTTTAATTTTTACTTATTTGTACTAAATTACATCAGCAGCTTTATTTATTGGTTCTGAGCAACATCAGCTTTTTTTTTTTTTGGTACCACGGGTCCTTGTGCTTGTGAGGCAGGCAGTGGAACCACTGAGCTAAATCTCAGGCCCAACATCAGCTTTTTTAATTTTTTGAGATAGCCTGCCTAAGTTGCCCACGCAGAGCTTGAATTTACTTTCTGTCCTGCTTCATCCTCTCAAGTATCTGGGATTACAGTCACCTGGAAAAAAATGATCTCTTCATTTTTTGTGATGGGTATTGGGGTTTGAACCATGAGCCTAGAAGATTTACTAAAGTCTACCACTGACAGCTTTTTCTTCCAAGTATGATGTTGGCTGTAGGTAATTAATTGTTTTGTTTTATTTTTGTCTCAGGAATTGAACTCAGAACCTAGTGCTTTCGAGGCAGTAGGTATTTTGATAGAGGCTCTCCATGACATTCAGGAAGTTTTATTCTATTCTTGCTTTGCTTAGAGTTTAAAATCTTGAACATGTGCTAAATTTTTTCAGATGCTTTTTTTGGAGGGTCATTTTAACTTTATTTCAGGAATAAACCCCATTTGTCATGATGTATCATTGTTGTACAGGGTTCTATTTGCTATTTGCTTTTTTTTTCCTTTTCCCTTGCACTGAGGATTGAGCCCAGCGTTCTACCATTGAGCCACATCCCCAATCTTTTTTGGGGACTTAATTTTTGTTGTTTGTTTGTTTTTGTTTTTTGAAAGCAGGGTCTTGTCATAATCCTGCTTCAGCCTCCAGAGAAGGGGATTGTATGCATGCATCCCATTCAAAAAGCTGGCCTGCAATTGTTTTCATTCGATTTTGCTGGTAAATTTTATCAAATTTTTCAATGCTACCCTTTATCAAAACTTTGGAGGGTTTTTTGTTGTTGTTGTTGTTTTTGTTTTTTTGTTTTTGTTTGTTTGTACTGGGATCAAATTTGTGGCAGGCAGGGGCACCACTGAACTAAATCCCTGGCCCTGGAGGTTGATATGTGTATTTCTCAAAAGTAGTGTGTAATTGTTTCTTAGAGTTAATGTTAGCAGCTGTAGACAGCTTCCTAAATCACAAGAATACAACATTGTCACTTGGAAACGGGTACATTCAGGGTTATCTTTAACAGTCATCTGTTTAAAGGCAGAACATTATTTGGCAAAGGGTGGGGGTTGAGAGCAGAGTACTAAGACAGTGCTATCTTTTAAGGCAGACCTAACTTTGATACTGTAGCTAGAGAAGCAATTTCTCTTTTTAAAAGTGTTCATAATACGTTTTTGGGGGGGCACTGGGGATTAAACTCTGGTCCTTGTGCTTTTGAGGCAGCGGTAGAATCATTCCGCTAAATCCCCATACCCATGATACTTTTTATTTATTTTTTTTAATTTGCTTTTTACTAGTATATGTTTGGAATACATAATAAATGTATTCATTGTGGGGAATTAGTACATGTTACATCTTGCTCCTTTTTATCTCAAAAACAGTTTCTGTGAGACCACAGGTGGCTATATGAGCCATCTGTTTTATATTTCCTTTTCTAAAGGGTGACAGACTTTACCAATTAAATTGTGCAACCAAATAAACAGACACCATTAAACTACAATTATTTTAATTGCTTGAAATAAATTATTTTCAGTCAGTTGTGTTGGTTTATACTTGTAATCCCAGTACTCGGGAGGCTGAGGCAGCTGGATAACTGCAGTTTCAAGGCCTGGCTGGGGTACATAGTGAATTCAGGGCACCCTGAACTATACAATGAGAGTCTATCTTAAAAAACAAAACAATATGAATCAAATTATTTTCTTAATTGGTTTATTAGCCTTGTATCTGGAAAAGCAGTAAAACCCACCTCTTCCAAAATCAGAATGCTGGTAGGGGCTGGGGATTTATAAAGTTCAGTGGTTCCGATACCTGCCTTTTAAGCACAAGGACTGAGTTCGATCTGTGGTGCAAAAAAAAAAAAAAATTATAATGCTGGCTCAGGCAGCCTGTAAGATACATAGCTGATACATGGCTATCTTCTATACATAGTCAGCCATGAAGGTGGAACTTCATAAACTCTGTAAGGTAGTAAGTGCAAAAACAACCTCCTTTATCAACACATATTCTTGCACCAGCAAAACCAAAAAAGCATACTTTACTGGTAGGGTCTGGCTTGTTTTAAAAAGAGGGCGTATATCTTCATAGATAAAATAACAGAGCAGTCTATAATAAACTGAGAGATGATTGTGGTTTACTTTTAAGTCTTAAACTGTGACTTCATGATCAGACATTTTCTTTCTTTTTTGTTTGGGTTTTTTGAGGGGGGGTACCGGGCATCGAACTCTGGGTCCTTGTGCTTGTGAGGCAGGCAGTAGCACCACTGAGCTCAACCTCCCCATCCCCTGCCCAGAAATTTTCTTTTCCTAACATAATGTCCATTCTTTATAAATTGACGTGTTCCTAGTTTCTTAACAAATCTATCTTCTTGGATTTATCTACTGTATCCTCACTGGACTGCCATTAATTTCTGCCAGCCTGCCTATAAATAGCCTGTCTTCAGGAATACACCAGATGCACTAACCAGGCACCTTGTAGTAGAATTCTGTACTTGAAGATTGCATCGGAGAACCCACTATTAGTCTGCCAGTACAAGTACTGCACCTGTCATTCCACATTATCACAGAAACCGCGCAGTTTCTTAATTACTCCTTCCTTACTGGGAAATCAATAGCTGTAAAAAAATTTTTGTTTGCAGTTCTAGGGGTTGAACCCAGGGCCTCAAGCCTGTCAGGCAAGTTAGTACTCTACCACTCAGCTAACCCATTGCTTTTGGTTTTGAGATGGTCTCTCTGCATTGCCTAGGCTGGCCTCCAACTTGTGACTAGTGATCCTCCTGCCTCAGCCTCCTGGGTAGCTGAGGTTACAGATGTGTGCCACCATGCTGAACAGCATTTTTGTTCAGTTTCAAAGTATTTCAGTACTTACTATTTCTAAAGATCCAGACATCATGTGTTTGTAGCATTTGGGCAATAAGACCATTCTGAAAAGAAGCTGTGTTCAGGATGAATAGAGTTGATAATACTTTTGAAATTTTCCAGAAACTGTGAGACTATATTTAAGGTCCAAACAACAGGAACAGTGAAGAAAGAAATACTTGGTAAGAAAATACAAGGTAAACTAACTCCCAGCACACATGCCAGCCACATACATGTTGTTTTTTTACTCAGGTATTTGAGTTGCCCTTACAGCGGGCAACTCAAACTTGGAATCCTCTTGTCTCGTCCTCCTGAGGGGCTGGGATTACAGGATTACACCTGTCTGGCATTAGAGATTTTAATTTCTTTAAAAGAAGGTTATAAATTATATGTATTTATTTGAGAGAAGAATTTAATTATGTAGAACTATTTATATACTTTCATATTTTTAAAAGGGTTAGTGCGTCAAAAAGACAATGTTCTGCCATGTGTGGTGGCACACACTTTGGATTCTAACTGAAGTTGGAGGATGGTGAATTTGGGTGGGGGAAGGAGGGAGAGAAAAGGAAAGAAAAGGTTGAGTTGGTAACACATTTTTCCAGGAATTTGCCCATCCAAGTAATCACATTAGGGTAGGATGGTTCATAGGATTCCTTTATAGTCCTTTCAGTGCATCATTCTATAATGTTAACTCCTTGTTTGTTCCCAGTTAATAATTTTATGTTTTTCTCCTTCCCTTAAGCCT